AGTTGGTTGCTGATTATGTACCCTTCACTCAAGCACAGCCCAGAACAAAGTCCTGGCTATTAGAGCTTGCATCCCACTAGGGTGGAGGGAGGAGGAGTGAACAAACAAGATGGTCTGAGGATGCAATAACTGCTATAAAGGAAGTTCAACAGTAACAGCATCATGCGAGATTTGGGTGAGGAGAAAGGGTGGATTACCATAGATAGGATGGTCAGGATTTTTAAGCAGGTTTTACTTAAGTTGTTTAAGGGATGGGAAAGATGCAGCGTGGCTGGGGTAGGGGCATCCCAGGTTGAGGCATGTGCCAAGGTTCTGAGGTAGACATGTGAACCTGAAGGAAGTAGCACCTGGGTGACTGAAGAGTGGTGGACTAGGGAGAGTTCCGAGATAAATCTGGAGAGACAAACAGAGGCAAGATCATTCAGGGCCTTGTGGGCAAGCCATAGGAAAGAGTTTCGATTTTAAGTACTATGGGGCATCTTAATAGACAATCATCGGGGCATTTGGGGCATTGATTTTTTTAATCGCCCTGGCTGTTGAACAGCAAATCCCTTAGCAGAGGACAAGCGTGCAAATGGAGAGTCCAGCTCAGAGGCTTTTTCAGGTGGGCAGGTGAGAGATGATGGTGGTTTGTACTAGTGTGGTGGGAGTGGAGGTAGAGAAGAATTCAGATTCTGGATATATTTGGAGTTAGAGCAAACAGGGCTTAGATGTGGGGAATGAAGGAGAGAGAGAAATGTATGATGATCCCTAGATTTTTGATTCAAGCTGTTGGGCTGCTGAGGTAGAAAGGCGAGGGGAAGAACAGGATCATTTACTTTGATATTGAAATCACCAAGAACGATGAAGTAGTGGTGAAGTCAGTAAACCTCTTCAAATGAATGAGTGGGAGTGTGCAAGTGTATCTGTCAGATAAATTAATTCATTTAACAAATATTTATTGAGCCCCTACTATGTGCTAGGCACTGCGCAAGGCTCTAGAAATGGTACTGCTGAATGACTGCCTTGTTTTTGTTGTTTTTTTTGGGGGGGGGATGCCTTGTCTCAAACTAGACATTACAACTGCCATTTGAAACTGCCATTTGAAGGGGGTCCATGCTTAATGATGCCTTTCTTCCTCACTGCCCCCTTTTACCTAGCATATTATTGAGCATGCACTTGCTAAGTGACCAAATCAAATTATATTAAATAGATGCTATAGTAAGTGTAAACACACTAAATCAATAGCTTAACACTACTAGTATTTCAATAATCAATATATCCCCAGTAAAATATCAAAAGCACTGAAGTGCTATACATATTTTTATTAACCTTATGTGTGATTTCTTAAGAATCTCCTAAAAACTAAAGCTTATGGTGTTGACTCAAAAGATCATGTTAAGGAAAAAAGAGAAAGAAAACGTCAAGATAATTACATTTTCAAGCTTTAATGTTAAGCAAATAGTTAAGTCTAGAAATTGTTACATTCAGATGCAAGTTTATCATTAGGTTTCAATCTAATTCCTATGATAAACCAGGAAAAGGACAAATGAAAGATGTTTTCTTTTTAGAGCTTGGCTCTTCTATCACTACTCTTTCAGCAAACATGAAGAAGTGGTGCAAAAAGTAGAATGCTGACAGTGAAAAAGCCACCTTTTGCTTCACTGCCAGCCTCGCTTTTTTTAATCTGGCTTAGGACGACCAGTGCATCTCAATAGCACAGTCATTAACTTTCACAGATAACAAAAATATAAACACAAGCCAAACTGTTTATGCTATTTGAGCATAATGCATTTGGCATACTGTTAATAGCAGTATCTTCTTGGTTTCAAATGGAAAAAACAAGCCTGTAGGATTCTGAAGAGCTAAAAGTCAACTTCATACTATGAAATCTTTTCTTCAGTCATTCCCTCATTGTAGAAATTGATGTCCAAGCCATCTTCAGACTGTCCACCTACTTGCAGTATCAATTTGGGATGTTAGAAAGAAATAATTTTAACATTTTTTTTCTTCCATCAGGAAAATATTTTACTTAAGAATACCTAAACAAAGCCCGTTATGTAAATGAGGTATGGTAAGAGACAAATATCACTGGAGCAAACATTTTAAACGAAGTGACTGTTCCAAAAAGGCACTCAGCTTGTGTCTCAAAGAGATAGAATTATCTCAAGAAAAAAACCTGTAAAAATGTTGACAAATGTTTGCAAAGGACAAATTTATAAGCCTTCTGCTGTTCTCCAAGCAATGGCTTTGTTCAAACTTATTAAGAGCACTTCTCCACATTACATAAAAATGTTTAGTTTGCTTTTAAAATATATTATTAAGAAAGGCATAATCAGAATATTAGCTAATTCCTACCTTTTCTCCAAGCCTCAGAAATGAGCCAATATTTTACATCATGAAAATTGTACTCTGAAAAGACTGGATTTGGCAGCTCAGGGCTTCAGAAAGAGCCCTGAGTCATTAGAGAAGGAAGAGAAGAAAAACAGAGAGACTTGGAATAAATTACTCAAATTTTGCCCTTATCATAAGTTTTCTTTTGTAGACTGCAGTAATGATTTCGGTATTTCCTTATTGTCAAAAGTGGGAATATTTATCTTTTAACAAATAGTTTGTTCTTGTACAAGGTACTTATGAACTCAAGCCATTCAGAGGCATGCCTATAGCTATTCCGGCTCATGCATTTAGGATCCAATGCGTTATTTCTGAAAATTATTTAGCCCTAATAATGAGTATTAACTTTAGAAGGTGTAACTATTGAGCATTGCTGTGCTTAAAATTTACCCTCTATATGGTTCAGCACCTGTAGTTCAGCAGCTAGGGTGCCAGCCACATACACCAGAGCTGGTGGATTTGAATCCAGCCCAGGCCCCCCAAACGACAATGACAACTACAACAAAAAAATAGTCAGGCATCGTGACAGGTGCCTGTAGTCCTAGCTATTTGGGAGGCTGAGGCCAGAGAATTGCTTAAGCCCGAGTTTGAGGTTGCTACGAGCTGTGACAACACAGCACTCCACCCAGGGTGACATAGACTCTGTCTCAAAAAAATAAATAAAAAATAAAAAATGTACCCTCTATGTATTTTTTTTTTTCAGAGTCTCACTTTATTGCCCTTGGTAGAGTACTGTGAGTACACAGCTCACAGCAACTTCCAGCTCTTGGGCTTAGGTGATTCTCTTGCCTCAGCCTCCCGAGTAGCTGGGACTACAGGCGCCCGCCACAACACCCAGCTATTTTGTTGTTGTTGCAGTTTGGCTGGGGTCAGGTTTGAACCCACCACCCTCAGTATATGGGGTTGGCGCCACCTGGCCTTCTATGTATTTTTGATAATAGTATATATTCGTAGCTCACAATAAACTCAGTTTTTGGTACCAATAAAACTTGTTACTTAGTAAACAGGTGTGCTTCATGACTGTTAATTTATTTTTATCACTGCATAAATTATTCACCATTTTACAGCTGTTTCTGACTTTCACTTCCAGTGTGTTTATATGAAAAGAACCTGAGTATATGGTATCACCCAACTTAAACAGCAAGAGAAAAAGAGGTCAGAATATGGGGACGGCATCCTGTAACTGAAACTCCTAACACACACGTATTCACACAGGAGATGGCAACATACCAGGGTTGGCAGTACTTTGACAACGCAGCCTCTAGAATAGTAAGTTTTCTATCTTCTTAATGTATTTTCCAATCCCACAATGATGGTAAGGAATCTTTAAGCAATGGCTAATATCTAAAACAGACTATATATGTATGTGTGTGTGTATATATACCTTCTACTGAGATTCTGGAATCCCAAAATTACATTCTAATATAAAGAAATGGCCTCCTCTTAAGGATCTCAGAACTAATTCTTGCTCTAGAGCAGTGGTTCTCAACCTTCCTAATACCATGACCCTTTAATACAGTTTCTCATGTGGTGACCCCCAACCATAAAATTATTTTCGTTGCTACTTCCTAACTGTAATTTTGCTGTTATGAATCATAGTGTAAATATCTGATATGCAGGATGGTCTTAGGCAACCCCTGTAAAAGGGTCATTTGACCCCCAAAAGGGTAGGGACCCACAGGTTGAGAACCACTGTTCTAGAGTTACATGTCCAGCCACTGGGTGTGGAAGATAAAACATTCTTTTCATTTAGAAAACCAATTTTCCAATCAACTTGTGCTTAAATGCTTCTGGCTTTCCTTTAAAGGGGATAGTATTTTGATTTGCCATTTTTCTATATGTAACTTTCTTCACCTCAGTTACTGACTTAACCATGGTGAAAATCCATAAGATTTTAAGAAATACCAGATATCAACTAAAAAAATTCTCAGAAAACAGGCTTGAAGTACAGGAACTCTTTCCTGTTTAGAGGGTAATGATTACACTTAGAGACACTATAATTAAAGAGCATCAATGCATTTTATTTTAATGCTAACTTATAAGAATAATTTCTTAATGCTACATCAGAAGTAAATTCACCAATGCTGAATTTGGAAAGCACAATCAAATTCCACAATTGGGACTACACGGCTTCTCACAATACTAGGCATCATGAATTTAAAAAACAAACAACTGATTTATGCATGACAAAAGTTCTTAAACTTCACGTGATCCATGAGCCTCCCCCGACTGTACACAAGAAATTGTGTAGTGTGTGTGTACCTTTTCCTGCAAAGAGGTCTTTTACCTTTAATCAACTTCCAAAGGGGCCCAAAGAGGCTAAGCAACAGTCAAGTACAAGGTAAAATTCTCATCTCTTTCTCTACATTTTTCATAATGGAAGCTGTGGACCATAGGAAGTTCACTTTTGCACAACTAAGAGTCAATTTTAATGTAAAGAGGGTACAAAACAAACAGAAGTTAACTTGCAAGGCAAGAAAAAAACTCTTTCAAAGGGGTTAAAGGCTCAGTGAGCTGGAAGGAGAGACTCCCAGGGATTCTACAAGTGCTTAGAAAAACCAACCTTTAGTATGCATAAAGCAACTGCATGAATTTAATATGCAATTTAACTCAAGTCCAATTTTCCATTTCTGCATAATTATCAACTTATTTTTATTGTTGAATATCACAAATTTCAATCAGAATACTTTTAAAAATATTATTCTGCATGCATTTAACAAATCTGACAAAAGGACAAGTATCCAGTTTACTTGCATTATGACTATGACATTTTAACTGAACAATTAACATATATTTAAAATCGTTAGATACAAGTAACAATGAAAAAACTTTAACGCATTAATCTGATGGCATCCTATCACTATGCACATGTTCTTGTAACACTACTAGTAATTACCCTGAAGCACAGGCAAATAAATGTAAATGGAGGACTCTCCCTAAAAAGCGAGTTTAAGGATTAAATATCATCATCATCATCATCACTACTGAGGACAAAGCTGCTGTCTGTGGACAGGGCCCCTTCCTCCTTAATACTGCCCAAACAACTAAAAATCCCTTTCTCATCAGAATCATCAAACAACTTCTCACTAGACTCTTCTTCCTCCTCCTCCTCAAACAACTTATCCTTGGAATCATCATCTTCAAACAACTTTTCATCTGGGTCGTCTTCCTTTCCATCTGCATCGTCTTCATATTCCTTGTCATCTGAATCTTCAAACAGCTTTTCATCTGCATCATCATCTTCCTCCTTTTCATCAGCATCTTCAAGCCCTTTTTCTTCTCCGTCTTCTTCATCTTCTTCTTCCTTTTCATCGGACTCATCATCAAATACTTTATCATATGCATCTTCTTCCTTTTCATCTGAATCTTCTTCCAACTCTCTTTCGGAGCCTTCCTCATCTAACACTTTTTCAGAGACATCATCTTCTAATTCAGAGTCCTCAGAATCATTTTCTCCTAACTCTTTGTCAAGCACATTTTCATCCAAATCTTTTTCAGAGCCATCTTCATCAAAATCTTTCTCGAGACCATTTTCTTCAAATTCTTTTTCGGAGACATCTTCAGATGGTTTTTCAGAGCAGTCTTCATCCAACTCTCTCTCTGAGTCATCTTCTTCTGACTCTTTTTTGGGGTCACTCTCCTCTTCAGATTCCTTGTTGGGGTCATCTTCAGACTCTTTTGCAAGGCCATTCTCTTCATAATCATCTGTGAACCTCTTCTTTTTAGATTCTCTTTCAGGGACATTCTCTTTTGCCTCCTTTTTAGGACTATCTTCTTCAGACTCTTTTACAGAAGTGCCTTCTTCACGCTCTCTCTTTGGGCGGCCTCCTTCAGACTCCCTTGTGGGGTAGCCCTCTTCAGATTCTTTTTCAGGGCAGCCTTCTTCAGCTTCTTTTTCAGGGCCACCTTCTTTAGCAGCTTTTTCAGAAGCATCTTCTTCAAATTCTCCCCCATCTTCGGTCTTTTCAAACTTCTTCTCATCTATAGGTTCTTCGAATGCCATTCCAGTTGCAGCTTCTTGAGCATTCATTTTAGATGTGCTAGGGTGCTCTGAAAAATGCCTTACTCTAGAAGGCCCTGCCCTTTCTGAAGTACAGACAGAATTTGAACGCCGAAAGCCTCTGTTGTCCTCAGGAGTATTGAGGAATGCCTCCCAACCTCTCAGCCTTTCCTCTCGTTCTCTTGAGGTTTCCTCCACCTGTGGATAAATGAAAACTGTCATTAAAATAAGTTCTAGTCAAAAAGAAGTCACAACTTCCTGAGCATTTCTAATACTAATGAAACTACCTTGATTTTATAAGGCATCTTTTCTGGGGAATCAATTCCATCCCTGTCTTTAGTTTGCAAACCATTACATCTTGATTTACTAGAGCTGGCCTTAAATAAGATCACTCAAATAAAGGCCAAATACCACAGTACTGCAGAAACAGCCCATCTCTTTAAAAAGCTAATATTTGAGTTCACTCTGTACTTTACAATACAGAAAAGAAAAGAACATTTTGGTTTAATGTGTTTTGTTATCACTAGTTTCAGCACCTCAAAATTTCAGGTTTATCAACTAAAAGACTGAAATGTTTCTCTTTGGATCCTCTGAATGCAAAGTATTGTTTAAAAGTATTGTTACATGAAACAGATCAAATTGAACCCAAAACTTAAGCCTTTGTTGGTAATGAAACAATTTGGGTGCCCTTGCCAGTTGTAAAATTTACCTGATAATCTGTAGTTCCATCCCATGCTTCGGCAGTGATTTGACGACCACCAAACCATCTTCCATTGAGAGTATGAATGCAATAATCAGCTTCCTCTGCATCTCGAAAGGACACAGAGGCCACACCATCTGGGTGCCGCTAGAATAATGAAAGAAAAAAAGGAATAAACAATAAGATTAAAAATTAAACACATATGTGACAAACAGGTAAGCTGTTCTAATACTAAAAGGCTTTATGTATGAAGTCTTTCTTCCCTCTTATCCCAGCCAATGACATGTAGTTAGCTGCTTCTTTAGCTTAATCTTTTCTAGTGAGAACCAAGCACAAAATATTGAAATATTTCTGCTGACATCACTGTTTAATGGGAAGAAAGACAGTATAATTATTAATATGAATTCTGAAGTCAGATTGCCCTGGGATTAAATCCTGGCTCTGTCAGTTACCAGCTGAATGACTTTGGGCTAGGTTCTTAATCTCTAAGGTTTCAGCTTCCTCATCTGTAAAATGGGTACAATAGTAATTACCTGTCTCAAAGCCTTGTAAGGATTAAATGAGATAACATGTAAAGTAGCTTGTAGTACAAAAGCAATAAATGATGACTCTTATTATTGTGTGTTAATTCTGGAGGCAAAAAAAGGTGAGAAGGAGAAATACAAAGGAGTTGTTTTTCCTGACTGTTCCAAATATGAAGGAGAATAATTCACAAAGAGTAGAAAATATTGGCAAATAGGTAACCATAGGTTAAATATATTTTTCTTGAGGAATACCAAATCTATCAAAGCTGTGACTGGTAAGCCATATTCATCTAATTACTGCTAACAGATGACTACTACCACCAGATACAGGCATACTGACATCTGGTAAAAAGTTATTAAGCTGGAAAAATGATTGCTTTAGGGCTCATGTGACCAAGCCATGAACTTACATCAAAGAGAAGGAGCTTCCTAATTTGACCAAACTTTGAACATTCTACTCGAAGGTCTTCTCTGATCTCATTCAGCACCAATGGGTCATCCTGAAAAAATACACATGATTAAAATGAGTCTGTCCCATTCTTTACTATAAATAATGACAAGCAAATTTCTGGATCTGACAAACCAACAAATAAAAAAAAAAGAGTTGTGCTTAAGGTTGGTTATGTTTGTAGCCCATAAAAGTTTAAAAATATCAAAATCAAATGAAGTTAAGACTACTACAGCCACTGTTGCTGGTCCCAGTCTGCCCTGCAAAGGAAATGGAAAAGTACAGCAGGTAGCAGAAGGGGACTACAGTGACAGAGAAGGGAAGGAGGACAGGAGAAGTCTTACGGCACATCTTCAGTTAGACCACTAATTCCTATGTTCTACATGGGCGTTATCAGTGCACTGATGAGAGACCTTGCCTTGTGTTTTGGACAGATTCCTATTTATAGAAATGTTGTAATGGATAGACACATCCCTTTCAGTGACTAAGGGTTCTAAGATTGGTTTTCATGCTTCCAAAATTCCATAGTAACACACAGAACAAACCTTCCAAGGATTCCTGTTCATCTTGTCTCCTACTTGCAATAGAACCACATAAATAAGGAGCTCTCTTAAGCACACAATAAAATATATTCGTAGCTGTTGCTTTCTTGTGACAATGAGTCTATTTGACTTTCCTCTCCACAGTGAGAAAAGGATTTAAGACTCCCTGTGGGAATTAACAAATCTTTCTCCACGTCCCAATGCATTAAAAAGACTCAGAAAAAGCTACATTATCAACTTCAATTGCATACCAATATAAACGAAGATACCCTAATCTAATAATTTATATTGAAGTCAATTTATACTTTCTAGAAAACATTTTTAATGCATCTATCTTTCTTAGAATGTTTTCTTCTTGCCAACTACAAGAGGAACGGCATACAAAGAACCACAAAAAAGCGGCTTTCTTCCTCTAAAGTGCTTCAAAAAGCAAAACTAAAATAACCAGTGAGGGTTAGTGAAATCATATTTAAAGTAAAAAAAAAAAAAAATTCTACTCATTTGTATAAAATACATGAAGCTTCTAAAACTATAGGACAGGGGTCCTCAAACTTTTAAAATAGGGGGCCAGTTCACTGTCCCTGAGACCGTTGGAGGGCCGGACTGTAGGCCCCGAGATGAGTCGGCTGCTAAGCAGGACAGGCAGCGGCGGCAAAAACACCCGGCAGGCTGGATAAATGTCCTTGGCAAGCCGCATGTGGCTATGGGCCATAGTTTGAGGACGTCTGCTATAGAAGATGGAACTCTGGATTTCCCTACTTCTAAAACTTAATTTTGGAGAAGCCCATTTGTTTCAGACCGAATTATCAGACCTGAGAAGAGCTAGCAGAGCATAAAAGTCATCTGGTAAAGTCACTTGGTGGCTTCTGGTGATGATGTGTGGTTATTTAGCTCCTACTGGATCATGAGCTTTCGGAAGGCAAGTTTTGGAGACCTTACAGAATACAGCTCAGTCTTTTATATACAGCCAACGCTCACTAAAAGCTTTTTCAGAATCTGATAAGCTCTTCCCAATACCTTTCTTTTATTCACCAAAGGAAATCAGGATTATAATAAAAACAAACATAAATCACTTCAAAATACTTAACAAATTTTAAGTTTAAATGTGATTCTATGGGGAAAGACAACAAGTATCACACTTATTTCTGTACCAACATCTCAGGCATTTCAGGCATTAAATCTTAGCTAAGTTTTCCCAGACCTCTGTTTTCATTTATAGCAACTTGAAAAACCAATATATCTTCATTGCTGCATAATATCCTGAAGCCTAAAGATAGTGATCGTCTCCTTTAGAAAGATTCTTTAACCTACCTAGATACACATGGAAATTTTCAAAAGACAAGAATTTGCAAGTAACCTGAGACTAAAATCAGATGTATGCACTGATGTATGCAGACAATTCTCAGAATTTTTTTCCCCAGGGTGGTATTTTGCTTTTTCTTTGGAAGAAATAAACCATGTTTCTCAGTTCCTTGCAATCTAAACTTACACTGTCTAAGACAGTGAGCAGTAACCACATATGACTACTGAACACTTTAAATGTGGCTAGTCCAAACTGAGGTGATCCACAAAGGATTATTTAGTACCAAAGGGGGAAAAAAACTGTCACATAGCTTATTAATATTTCTGTATTTATTACATGTTGAAATTATAATATTTGGGATATACTGAGTTAAATAAAATTCAATATTAAAGTTAATTTCTCATTTCATGTTATATTTTTATTGTGCCTACACAAAATTTAAATTACACATAAGGCTCATATTACATTTTTACTGGATAGTGTAGGTATATACAAGGAGAAATGAAACTTTGCACCTGAGTTTTGATTCATTTCTTGGTATTCAAATATGCAAGGTAATGTATTTTTATAAGATTTTGAATTAAATACTGAAGACTCTCTGAAGTTACATTAAAAATATTAGCCTTCAATGTTTACCCTGATTATCAGACAGTGTTTTTAGGTATACCGCTTCTAATACTGGTCAACTGTTTGGAATAAAACGATATCCTACCCTCCAAAATCCGATTTCTTTCAAACACCTAAAACCTACAATCCTGTTTTTATTCCCCACTAGAAAGTCCGATGGTGATGTATGTTCTTTAGGTTTATATGGAATATTCAGTCGAATCAAATACTCCCCCAAAATATGCAATGAAAGCAGGCTTTCTGTTGAAGACTTCTACCAAGTTTCATAATGTCTATACTAGTGCTTCCCAACATAACTTTCTGTGGTGATGGAAATGTTGTATAATTGTATTATCCAATATGGTAGCTACTAGCTATCTACAGAACTGAATTTGTAATGATGCTATTTTTAATGAATTTAAATTTAAATAACCAGACAGGTGAACAAACAAGGATAATACCATCAAGGATTTCTTTGCATGTGAACTCTGAAGCTACCACTGCCAGGACAGTGTCCTGTTACCCTTTGTGGCATAAGTATCTAAAAGAAAATTTCCCTTCATTTACAGAAATGCTAAGGAGAAAATGTTTTAGCCACTGGGTGAAGAAAGACTCCTACTTCTAATAGGAGTTTCATTCAATCATTTTTTTATATTGAGGGCCTAGTGTGTGCCAGGCACAATTCTATGCACTGAGTATGTAGCAGCAAACAATGAAGACAAAAATACTGGCTGCGACGGAGCTCACGAATTCAAGTAGAGAAGATAAAATTATTTTAGATAATAATAAACACCATGAAGGAAACAAACAGGGTATTATAAAGGCTCTCTAACTCCACATTAGTTTATACTAAATCAAGAAGGCTTTTTAAAATCAGGAATTTGCAAACATCTTTAAAAATATTCACTGAAGGGAATTTATAGGAGTCAAGGTGGCTTTGAGGGGAAAGTGTTATTTATTAAACTAGGAAAAGCTAAGTCTATCCAGGGTAATAGACTCAAGGTTTATCAATGACCAAAGCAGGAGGTAGAAACAAGAACAGATAAAATTATACAACAGAATCCTACTTGCAGAGGTACCTGATGTGTTGAATTAAGCTTGCATTTACATTCATGTTTGAGCAGCAGGAGTATGGAATGTGCACATCAAAGACCTCAAGTCAAAGAAATAAATAAGTCACCTAAGAAACCACTTATTTACTAGGGAGATAAAATGTGATAGCTGCAGGAAATTCTGGAGTTCTATGTAGACTAGAAATTGTGACCCATTGATGTATTCCTTTTAAAGTTTCACCAAGCAAGGAGTGTTTCAAAAAGCCACCGTGTGCAGGGGTACATGTATTTTTTAAACATACTTCATTACTCTAAGTAAAAAATAACTGTTATATTTCTAGATTCTTCCAGATTTCTGATCAGAACACCAAGCAACCTTATAAATAAACCACAGTTATCTTCTTAATGACCTCAAAAGATACCCAAACTCCACAGGTACACAGTAAGGTCTATCACATCACTATTTGCCAAGACAGAGCTCAACTGTCCATTTTGAGACCCTCTCAAAGGAGCAAAAATGATACTACCATTGTGACTCTGTTTAAATGCCCAAAAGGGACACTGATAAGCACTGGTTGCAACTAGATCATTTGTAAACCTGGAATCTTACATTATAAACATTTTTTTCTCATGGTTAACTTGCTATCATTACTTTCTGAACCAAGGAGAGAATAGAAAGTTGTTTTTCCATGAATGATGATGTCAGTCTACACTGTGAAGACAAAGATAACAGAGACAAAAGGTACTGCGACAAAAATTAATATTCCTTAAACCTCTTTAGCAACTTTTTGTTCTTCCTTTATTCACTTTTGGTGGAGGGAGAGGAACAGTTCCATGCCTTTTCTTTTATAAATACTTGTTTAAAATTGATACATAATAGGTAATACTTCTACATGCTGTTCTTGGAATTCTCCATGGACACTAAATATTTTAATGTCCTCCATATTGACTAAAGAGTTTCATAAAAGTTAGGTCCTAAATAAAATCACTCCCAACTATTTAATCAGGTGTATGTTTCATTAAAGTATGTTAAATGATCAAACTTTTAGTACCAAAATAAAGTTTTCATTTACAAGTGTGAAACTGGTACTCTCCATCAAAATTAGCCCATACTTATTGAACTGCACTCAAAATCCACAGGCAGTTTCCATAAATCTTTTAATGATGACATTTTAAAATGATTTCCCATACCAAGTAGCTGCTGTCTGGGGCCACAGTATGGGTATTAAACAGTCTTACCTGGGATACAATTTAAAAAAAACAACACCACTGGGGGCGGCGCCTGTGGCTCAAAAGGGTAGGGCGCCAGCCCCATATGCCGGAGGTGGTGGGTTCAAACCCAGCCCCAGCCAAAAACTGCAAAAAAACAAAACAAAAACACTAGGCTAAACAAAGGGAAGGGAAATCCAAAAACCTTTGGATTATTTCTTGGTTCCATTTTCCTGCATTAACTGCTCACTGTGCAAACATGTAGAAGGTGACGTGACAAAGATAGGGCGAGACAAGCTTCAGGCTCACTTTAGGGAAAGAAAGACTATCAACATCTCTATCAGTAAGCACACCACTTCCTACCTCAAAATCCATAGGATGAAACATATTCTTGATGATGACAACTCTCTCATGGCGCATTCGGGATGGTCCAGCTCTCCTCTCAGGTCTCCAATCCAACTGCCTAATGCAATGAAGTAGTAACAACAAACTGTATGTTTTGTTTCAAACTTCTCAGAGAGGAAAAAATGAGCTGTTCGAACAATCCTTTCTTGACTATTTAATAATGATAATTATTTCATTACAAAACAATCTCTATTTCAGTTACAGTTCCATTCAGAAAACTTTGTGAAATAAAAATAATGGGCAGGGAAAAATGGTCCCAATATCTGAAATCCCAAGAATGTATTTTTCTAGAGCAAATGTTATCTGATTATGCAAACATTCCAAGCAGACATTTGAAAAACTGCTATTTAGTGCTTATGACTCTCTAGGAAGATATACTTTGAGGTCCCCCTCCTCAAAATCACATATATACACATATATTTTGAGACTGTCTGACTCTGTCACTTTGCTAGAGTGCCATGGCGTCACAGCTCACAGGAACCTCAAACTCTCCGGCTTTAGCAATTCTCCTGCTTCAGTCTCCTAAATGGCTGGGACTACAGGCACCCACCACAACATCCAGCCAATTTTTCTATTTTTAGTAGAGATGGGGTCTCATTCTTGCTCAGGCTGGTCTGGGACTCCTGAGTTCAAGCAATCCGCCCACCTCAGCCTTCCAAATACAGGCGTGAGCCACCACACCCAGCTCCGAAAAAGTATTTTTAAATGGTTTTTAGGCACTTTTAACATTATAAAGAACAAACTGCACTGAAATATGTAAAAGTACTCTTTGTTATAATTATACATTTTACTGATAACCGTCTACAAAATTTGTGGTTATCATTTTCAACCACTCTTGTAAAAACAATGGGCCGTCACACTAAATGCTTTTATGATCATTTTATCATTAGTTTAAGTATAATGTCAGAAGTGCCTTTAGAATTCACTCTGATAAAAACATTATCAGTTTAGCTAATTCCTTAAAAACTAGCATATTTCAGTATATTAAATAGAATATAAGTCTGACTCTACACAGATAAAACTTAAAACCCACTATTGCCAAATCATTGCACTGTACAGATTACCCAGAGGTGCCACACAACCCAATGAAATTCTTTTAAAATAATGTTTAGCCACATTTGATGGAACAAAACTAGATAGCTATTACCAAGAATATCCTCTACGGTATTTATATGACACTTTTCAAAAAGGAAATAAAATACAGACTTTTGTTGCAGAGACAGCTTCTTCTTATAGTCTTTGCACTTCTTCTTCTTCTTTGAGGCATCATATGTCCCCTTCAGTTGAAACTTTGCCACCTCAACATGTAATTTGTAGCCTCTAATTTCATCTTCATCCAAAAGTTTTAATGCAAGTTCCACAGATTCTCTCTTTATGAAGGTAAGATAAAAAATAGTAAGTTACACAAAGAGATGAAACTTTAGGAATTTTTAGATGAACAATGATTGTATGTATATGAAAATTTAAATGTAACTACCCACACTGGGGTAAAAAAACTCGAGAATGCAAATCAGGAAACCTGCATTTGAGATATAGCTGTCCCTAACCAGCAGTGTGAACTTGGGCAAGTTACTCAAGCAATCTGAGTAACTTGCCCAATTTCTTCATCTGTAAAATGAAAATAATAATACTTTCATCACAAAGTTCTTAACAAAATGAAACGTAATAATGCATGGAAACAAAGACGGGCACAATAGACACTCAATAAATTATTATTGGATAATTCTGCCTCTTGAAGCCCTAATTTCTTATCTGTAGGGTGAATGGAGTAAACTTGCATAATTTCTAAAGCACATTTCACTTTTAAAATCCTGTAATATTTCTACTTAAAAAGACTAGATGACTCAAAACTGAGACTAACATAGCCTTTAATTTTTTGGATTGCCAGTTAAAACGTAGTTCTATAACACACTGAAAAGGTAACTATTAGACAGCTTATATACTGCACATTAAATACGTGTATGGATCCTGGGTCCTACACAAAGGGGAAGTTACCAGCCCTACATAAAAAAGTCAAAGCTCTAAGGACCTGTGGAATACACAGAAGGGTAACTAAACTCAGCTTGCTCATATCGAATATGGATTCTAGAATAATTAATTGCATTTTTTTGGAACTCAGTGTGCTGGTTTGACAACCTTGTACTTTTATATAAGTACATTATATATTATACATATATTTTACATTATATATTATATATCATACATATACCTAAAGTATACCTATCCTGAGTCTCAAAACCTCATTTTTTTTTTAGAAGAAATCCAATCGAACCCTCTAAGAATCTGTTTACAGATTTTTAATAATCCTTAAGGAACTTTATAGAATTCTCAAATCTCCTTGTATTTGAACATTACAAAACCACCTTCCTAAAATAGTAATGCTCATGTCCCATACCCATTATGCTTACGATCTGGGTCAAAAAATCTATCTCCCAAAAAGCTGTCAGCTTAAACCTACCCCCTTCTGATCCCATTGGGATACTATATACCCATGGCACACCTGTGGTGTTTGTACTGTTAATATATCATTTTGATACTACTTCGTAATTATTTTCAGGTTCTATCACGTATGTACATGTGTACACACTTCTAAGGTGGCAGGTGTTCCAGAAATGATGGCTGCCTCTGGCGCTTAGTTTTCTCTGTAAAATTTATGGTACCACGACTACATGAGATTCTGTTAACACCACTTTCTATTCTCTCCCAGTCAAAAAAATGTTTTAAAGCAGTAAGCATAAGTGTTCATCTCCTTTATGGTCTAAGTCAGGGGGTTTTATAAAAGGGCCAGTTAGTAAATATTTTAGGCTTTGTGCATTGTGCTACAATCACTCAACACCCTTGATGAAACACAAAAGCAATTATGGACAAATACATGAATTGGTCTGTGTTCAATAAACCTTTATTTACAAAAACAGGTGGTAGGCCAGAGTTTGCTGAACCCTGGTCTAATTCATTTCAATGGGCAAGTAAAATGTCACTTTTTTCCTTGATTTTTAAAATGTGTTCTTAATTAATTACATGTGTCAATAAAGAACTGTTTAGTGAGTTTAAGACAAAAGAAGCACCTCAGTCACATATAATACTTTAACACAAAGACATATTTTTTTTTTGGCACTTACAAGGAAGATAAAGACTTTCTTAAAACCTTACCATTGTGATACACATAGGTACCAAATGAAATTTCAGTTTCCTTCATACCCTCTTTCAAATAGCTCTTGGTTTTGTTATCATGTATAAAAATTATAGCCCTTGTTCCTAAGTTAAAAACAGAGATACAGAGAAAAAAAAAACCTATTTGGCTATCTCACTAACCTTCAAATAACAGCAAAGGCCATCTCCTTTAAGATTTCCTTGATTATCTTTGTAAAGTTTGACCTTAAATTCTTCTGTCTGAGGATCTCTCATAATAATGCCAAACTTGGACATAAGCTGTATAAATTCATCCACTGTAATGTCTGGAGGCAAACCTATAATATTAGGAAAAATTTAAAAAATGTATAAAGACATCTGCAATAAAGGAAAGAGTTATGTAGAATTCCACCAATTACAACTTAGGTGAATGCAATATTGGTTTTCTAAATATAACATTTCTAAAATTTTACATCTCTAGAACAGTGTTCAAATATACATTAAAATAATATTTTGGTTAAGGCCTCACTAAATCTGAAGGGGCAAACTGCCATAAGTTACCTAAAATAGGTAAAAAGGATGGCATGCAAAATTAATTTAATTTTTCTTGGTTCTCTAATAAACATATACCTCAGTAATATAAAATGGTTTAACAAAAAAAAGAGTGTTAAAAATGAATTTAAGAGAAACGGAAAGCGAAAAATCATTTTGTGAAAAACCTCAAAATCTACTATTTCCTACCCTAAATTTGTTTAAAAAGGTATACATACCAGACACATAAACATTCGTATTTCTGTCTTCTTCAACTTGAAACCATCCTAAAAATCAAAATAAAATAAAATAAGTGCAAGAAAAGAGTTACTTTACAAAATCTTAATAATGTGGTAGTTTCTTGAAAATTCCAGGAACTTTCTCTTATCTTTAGAAGACCAAGACAGACTAACGCAAATCACTACCCAGTTTTAAAATATTTGAATCTTTCGACAGATGATTAGTTTCAGAGCCCTGTCTGGAAGAAAAGATAGCTAGTTTACTTTGATTCTTTATTATCTGACACTACTGTAAAGAAAAACTCATATTCCTTCAAAGCTATTTTAATTCTCCACAAAGTACACACACTCACAATTTACAAGCTAGAACCACTTGCCTGATTCAGCCTTTCTTTTTTCTCCCTTCCTTCTGGAATCAGTGGGTTCAGGGGGTTGTCTCTGCGGAGGTTCCTCTGCAGACTTAGTATTGACGTCTTGTATGTTTGAAGTAGAACTAGATGCACCATCATTAGAGAAGCCGTAATTGGCTTGATAGGTAGCAATGAAATCGTCAGTGATCTAAATAAGAAATTCAGCACACACACATCCAAAAATTCAAAATTATTTCTTCCCATAAAAAGTTTAAATTGTGCTTTATTACAGCATATTCTGTTATACAACCTAACAAAGAAATGTTTCAGTGGATAACAGTTGCAGCCGCTGAAGTGCAAATGAAAGAATAATCACCTTATATAAAAAACTGCCTAAAACAATAAAAAGATACAAGTACTTAGATGATCAACACAAAAATCTGAGGTACTATTTAAGTAACGGTGGCACCTTTTCTAGTTGTTTCATTTATTAGTTACTACCTCTCTACAGTCTAGGTGGCTAAGGCTATCAATACATATAACAAAGGAAGTACCAAATAACAATGCAACAAAATGAAAACCAACAGTCAACTACAGAATCCACTTTTCTTTTACTGTATAGAGGCACCAATGTACGTGCATGCTAAGTACTTAAATATCTGCTTTCAGAGAGTACACAGAATGAAACTCTGACTTGGTGGGTAAAGAATGGGATAAACAACTGTACAACTAAATGTTGATTTTAACTCTGTCACTAATACCATCCTTTAGTGTCAGGACAAATTAAGTACAAATCCAGCTCATTTCTATCTTCCTGGATTTTGGGGGAGAAAACACTCTTGCGCAAATGAAAAAAATTTAGTTATATCATCATACTGATCAGTTACACACACACATGAATGGGGAAACTTTTAAACTGTGTTTCAGGAAAGATGTACAGACTCCAGTAACATAAAAAGATAGAATTACAAAATAATCCATCATCAGACTATTGTTAAAAGTACTCAAAGGGTTGAAGAAACCATATTTGCACTCCAACTGGCACTACAAATACAGAAATGAAAGAATAAATTTTAATTATAATAAATACACAAACAAAATAGGAAAAAAAAGATTGAAATACTTTTTAAAATACCAGTCCAATCACACAATAGCGATATTTTGTATTATTGGCTTATAAACCAATTAGTTTGCCATTAGTATCCCTTTTTCCATCCCTAAGACTTATACTTGGGGTACTTTTACCACAAAGTTTACAGAACCAAGTTTAACACCAATTATTTTACTTTCAGCTAAAATAAAACACTTAACAATTTCTAAGTACTCCAAACAAACATACACAGATCTTTTCCATCTGCATTCTGCGCATCTCTAAATCATATTCCTGTGGTAATATGGTTCAAACATACACCTGCCTAGGGACAAAATTTAGTAGAAAACTAAAGCAAGGTACAAACAAACCTCAATTAGTAAAGATATGTAAATGGCTATTTTCGTAAAAAATCAAGAACTGCGTTTTTCACATAGTACATAAGTTCAACACTTGAATTCCTAGGATAAGTGAGGTTGGCTAACAGGCATGAAGAGCAACTAAAATTGCTCTCCGTGTTTTTCCTCCTTCGAATAAAAAGCAATCGTCAATGTAATAATCAAATGTGTGACCTTCACAGACAAAATTAGGAACAGACGAGACTGAAGAATTAATCACATTTAAGACGCCGCCGTAAAGATTCACACACATTTCTTTTACCCATCGATTCTGCACTAAACACAACAAAAAACCCGTCACTGGATACCGGGGCTAGGATCAAGTACCTCAGGGCAAAAAGGAGCGCCCCACGAGGGTGGCCAGACGGCCCAGCCCCCAGTACCGCCTGTGCTACTCTCTTACCTTGGGGAACCAAGCCTTCTTGTCCAGGTCCCACTCGTAGGGGGTGTCAGACGAATGCTGCCCGAAAGAATTGGTTTCTCCGCTGGGATCCTTCTGAGTGTCGCTGTCCTTGGCGTCTCCGTACAATTCTTGCATTCGCAACTGCTCATCAAACTCATCATTCCCACTCAACTTGTTGTCGCTCATGTTTCCTACCTAGCCCAGGGGCACGGTTCAGACGAGCGAAGAGGCCGAAATGACGCTGGAGAGGAGCAGAGAAAGGGAGGTCGGCCGCACTCAGCTCACGCCCCGCCGCCCCCCGGCCCGCCTCCCTGTGGCGCCCCAGCAGTCCCTGGGAAGTCGCGACCGTTTGGCCGCCACGCCACGCTGCACCGCCCCTCGCCCCGCCCCCCACCAGTGCGCGCGCGCGGATGCTCCGAACTCGGCCGTGCCACTGCCCACCTGGCTCTCTCTGCCGGGCCTCAGCGACGCTGCTGCTGCCGCAGTTGACCGGCTCTAAAACGGCTGCGGCTCCCGCGATCACGTCAGGAAATTACTGGAAAACGAAGCCCCCTCAGGCTGACCGAGTCGCCATTGTAGGCGCGTCGCTACGTCGCGGTCCGCGCCGACACGCCCACCGTGGCGTCAAAAGGCGCCGACGCGGGAACGCGGCGCGAGGCCCGGGGGCGGGGCATCAGGGGGCGTGCTGCTGCCGAGAGTCGACGCCCACTAGGGCCCCCCTCAGGACGTGGCGAGGGCCGCATGGCCCCGCAGTGCCGCAGCGACCATGGGCTCTGCGGGGGGTCCCCAGCGGGTCGGGCAGTTTTAGGCCCCTGCAGGAGCCCGAAGAAGGCGGATGGCTCGTCCCCCGCGGTAGGCGCGGGCTGGATGTCGCGGCGGGCGCCATCTTGGGGGAGTGGGTGGGGCGGGCAAGACTGGTCTGGGGCTTTTAGAAAACGACGCGCCTCCTTCGCCCAAAGGCCCCTCCTTCCACGCCGGAATAGCGTATTTTACTTATTTCTTCACTGTTGCCATGGCATGGGCGCCGGCACTTGTTCATCTTGGTAGCCCAAGTTCGTGGCACTACATCTGGGCTCTAGTGCAGAGTTAGTGAATGAATAAATGAATGAATGAACAAACGAACAAGCGAGGGGTGGTAGGGCCAATCACCTTTTCCTAATGTCAGCTCCCTTTTTTGTCGTTCTCTTGCCCTCCTCAGGCTGGAGTTGGACTGTGGGTAGGCTGGGAGGGGGCAGCAGTTGCCCGCCTCTTGTACTCCCGGATTCACAGGCGCTCAAGTTCCAAGCTTGAAACTTAAACACAAACGTGTAAACACCAGCTTTACTGACCAACTATTTTTGTGTGTTCTTTTTTTTTTTTTTGAGACAGTGTCTCAGTTGCCCTGGGGTTGAGTGCATGGCGTCAAAACTCACAGCAATCTTGAACTCTTGGGTCAAATGATCCGATCCTCTTGCCTCAGCCTCCCGAGTAGCTGGGACTACAGGCGCTCCCCACAACCCTCAGCTATTTTTTTTTTTATAGACTGGGCCTCGCTCTTGCTCAGGCTGGTAGCTCAGGCTATCCACTCGCCTGTGTTCCCGGAGTATTTTTTCTGTGTTCCTTTTTGAAAGACACAGTATGCTTTTTCTCAAAACAGAACTTTGCTTTTAGAAATTAACATTGCTAAAAGTAATAATGCAACATTTTTTAAAGGAAATTAACATTGCTTGAAATTAAGAGATGCATATTTTTTTTAATTGAGCAGCTGATATTGAGCCCCTCCTAAGTGCAAGGTACTGCACTAGGCTCTGGCAACTCAGAAGTCAACAAGACAGGCACATCTCAGAGATCACAGGATGGTTGGCAAATGATTCGCGGGTAGAGGTAGGGGATACTGGAGAACAGTTGTCAAACTTGCTGGTCTCTGGACTGCCTTTACGTTAAAAACTTACTGAGTATCTCACTTTGTTTATGTGGATTATGTTTATCAGTACTTGCTCAAAAAGCCTCTGTTTACAAATAATCATTTGAAACCAGGGTTGAGAGGAGCAGTCACTCAGGAGGGTCACTGAGTCACTGTACCAGTGGAGCAACAGCGTGGGAGCTAAGCACATTTGTACCCGCAGTGGCATTCTGTTTGGCAATGAGACCTGACAGTCCTATTTTAACAATGCTGTGGTCTCTTTGAGGCCTGGTTCCTGTTTGTTCTCATTTCCCTAGTAGCTGAGGTAATCTGGCATTTCTGTCTTTGTTACTTGTCTTTTTCAAGATTTTTTGTTGGTTTGAGAAACACTTGAGGTAACAGCAGAAAGGAGAGCTATAAAGATAAGGGTGGCTTCTGAAACTCCAGGACCACAATATACCACTGAAGCCAGATGTGGTAATATACCACAGAACTCCAGGACCACAGTATTTTGTAAATAAAGAAGCCAATATACCACAGAACTCCAGCACCACAATATTTTATAAATAAAGGTACATTTAGCTATAATTTCCCATTTTCCTTATGCATGGTTACTTTATAGGCGACCTTTGGGATACCCTATAGATGGGCTGCGTGAGGAGTTGCTGGACCTGGAAAAGGAACTATTTGGAATTTAGACATCTGGCTTCTGTCAGAATACCTACTTCATTCTTCTCTCTTGAACCTTTGTAAGGGGTGATCTGTGTTGTATTCCTGGGCTGATAGGTGGTGACACTTCTTGATAGATACATATATATTAACCTATAAAAGCTGCTTGGCTAGAGAAGGAACCTACCTGGCCTAGGAACTCTTTCTAGAAAATTACTAAACTACACCAAACTAGACTTTTTAAAAATGTCCCCTTCAAGCCGACTCTGTTCAGGAACTTTCCTATTCCCATGTCCTATAATCTCCAGACTTAGTGGAAAGAAAAAAAAAGGCTTTTGTTGTTCTCCCAAAAATATCAATGAATTCCTGGCCTAAGGTAGTTCAAACTGCAGAAATTCCTTAAGCTTTAATTTGCTATTTCCAGCAGATATTCCAGTGCTAAATATTTTGTAGTGCTTTTACCTATAATGATGAAGACTTGCCCGCTGGATGGTTTGGTTATTCCTAACTTTGTGATCATGTTTTCTTGCTTTCTAGTGTATTACTGTATTATGGTCCATATTTTATAAGTCTTGGATCAGGGAAGACCCTGAGTAAAATTATGACATATATACAATTTGTTTTGCCCATGATGCACCTCTCTTTCCATTTAGGACTCTCTCCAAAAAAGTGGTATCTTTCATAGGAACATTTCTGACATCACAATAGTCAGTGTGAATGAAATTGTAAATATTCGGGCCTATCTCTTAGCCCTGACAAGAATAATCTGTTAAAAGAGAGGCCCCTTCTTCAAAAAAATCAAAGTAAAGCCATGAATTTAAGCCCATTTCTCTGACTATGGATGGAAGATGGCTGATGTGATATAAAGCCTCTTAGGAAATTATTTTACATTAGAACCCTAAGTCACCTAGGGATTACTGAGAATGAAAAAAAAAAGGAATTTCTTTGAGATTCAGTTTCATGAATTGCTAAAAGGATCTCTTAGCTTTTGTAATCTGGTACATTTATCAAGTTATTTTTAAAATGTTATATTTATGAGAGAGTAAAGATACAATTTTTGCCCAGAGTGGGGAAAATAATAAAAATATTTTGGGATTCTGTAACTTGAAAATAACTTAAATTTTGGAATTAAAATAGATTCTCACAGTCTGTTAGAAATGTTGTTTTTAGAATATAAACGTACACAAAGCCATTTAAAACTTTATTTCATATTATTTTCCCCCCCATTTTTTACAATGTCCACTTTAAAACAATACTAATACAGTATCGGCACCCCCACTTTAAATAAATGAATTTTACAGAAACTTAAAGTCTAGTGTTAATATGTATTCTGTTTTTGAGCCACATCATTAGCAAAAGTTCACTACTACACAAGTCATTTAAACAAAGCTCAAAACTACCAAAAGCACACTCAAACACCAAGTTTTTTTAAATACAGATGTAACTATAGTGCCAAACATATGCTTTAATTTTCTCCAAAAAACATTTTCTGAAATCACAAATCTAAATCTGACACATCTGTTGACAGCAGGTTTTTTTTAAAATAACAACAATTAACAAGATCATAGCGTTAGCAAATAGAAGCAAAGGACAGAAAATCAGAACCTTCCATCTGATTTCCACGGGTAGAGATTAATTAGGTCATATTCTTACAGGATTTAGGCACCCATCAAGCAGGAAGATGGTTTGATAAGCACTGCACACCCAGGTGTTAGGAATTTCATGTGGTACTTCTGCATGTTTTAGAAAGAGGGCACTGCTTACCAAAAAGAAAAAAAAATGAATTTCTTTAAGAGAAGAATTTCAGACACTGACAGGTTTGCAGATTTTTCAACAGCGATCCTCCTCTGGAACCCTAAAATGACACCATAAATGTGGCCACTTATTCTGCCTGTGAAGAGGCAAGTTCTTCACAATATTTTTGAACAATAACTTTGCCCAGTCATTAATTAATGGCAGCCGTAAGTAGAACAACAGTAAGTCAGTAAGTGTTGACCCAAGTAAGGCAAGCACTCTGTCCCCGATCCTTAGTCCTGTACCCTTACTGACCCCAAAACATTTTGTAACAGATTTAGTTACAATGGGGTAGAGATTAATGGAAAAGGGCAGTCATCTGTGAAGGTTTAGTTTTTTTAAGAAAAGTGCATAACAGACATTTGTTCTTTTTTGATCCCCATTTCACAGAGTATACATTATACAGAGTATTTCTAGATTTATACTACATAATAAATACGAACACGATTTTATGCCAATCACTTGAGCATATGAGAAATTAGAAGCATCACAAATGCGATGAAAACAAATTAGATTTTAAATTTTCATCTAGTTTAATTCACCTTTCCTATTCAACCTCCCTTACAATTCACTGACAAATTTGCCTTTCTGTACTTGGTGGGGCTTCATTTTATTTAGAAAGCCCCATAACATTACTGATTATACTTTGAAGAAAATCAAAGTTTATCTTTTACTTACAGGGATCCTTCTAAGATTTCAACACAATTCACAAACAACAAAAGTCTGGACATCACACACCTATGCACAATTTAGGGTTGGGTACACACGCTGGGAGGAGAAATACCGTTTTTGACTGAAAGGCTAGACTACGTCCTCCTTCTCGCTACATCCGGGGAACAGGGTCACACTAATTTCAGACACCTGTGTGCTCCCAGTGCCCGGGACCCTGCCCATCACAGCCAGGTTGTTAAGAGGGGTGTCAGCAGGAAGAGGCTCGGGCAGCTCAGCCTTGCAACAGAATAGCTGAGCTTTAAAATGCTTCTGGAAGGTTTTGCTCAGCCAGTAGAGAGCAAAGGGATTTACACAAGAATTGCTGAAAGCCAGAACCCGAGAGAAAACGGTGATAATAAAATGCACGGGAGAGGAGTCTGCATGGGTTTGATGAGTGAAAGAGTGGTAGAGATACAGGAGGTGATTTGGCAACCAGCAGAGAGCAAACAGAGCCACCAACACCAAGACCGTTCTGGCAATTCTCTTCCGGGATTCAATCTATAGGGGGAAGAAAATGGTGACAACAACAACAGCAACAAAATCACTTAGAAGACAGAGATTTTCAAAAGTCATCCTCTAGATTTACATAGAATTTTACAGTTAAAATTAACAAATTGGTTTCCCTTTGAACATGTGTTTGTGTGCTAACTGGCTGGGATGTGCAGGAAGTCAGCCCTTGGCTACAGAAATCAGCAAGTTAATTGGCATGGTTACCCATGATCTTGGCTTCATTAATTCTAATTCAGAGACACCCCCAACTCCGGATTTGGAGATACTCTAGGATGTCTCCAGTTAACTCAGGGTATGTAGTGGAATTCTCCCAGATTTAATTCAATTAAAAATATAGACTGCATCAGGAGAGGCTGACTAGGTCAGAATATTCTTCTGAGGTTTATGAAAGTTGCGAAGTTGGTATTGAAAATTGGTTTTAATCTAAAAACTTGTTGTTACTCTATAGGAATTCTAACCATACAGTCAAAAGAATAAAAACCTCATGTTGCTGTCCTTTCTATGTGAAAATAACTCTACCTACATCTATTAATAAGAGAAACTAGTCGGGTTAGGTGAATACATAGCCTGGGCAGGGAGATAGAGCAAAGATAACCAGCTACATGAGCAGTTACAGACACATGCACTGCTTCAGCCTCTCGGGCACTACTGTGGAACCAACTAAACGGACTAGCTTTAAAAAAAAAAAAAAAGCACAGCTGTGTACTAATCAAGAGGTGAATGGAATCATCTCTCAAGAGTTTAAAATCTTTTGAAAAATGATGGAACTATGTTTTGGCACCATCCCTTTTTCTCTGTCCCTATTTATGGGGGGAGAGCACTCCTGGCTCTTGGCAATGGTCTTAATCAAGCCTCCGTGAGTCACTGTGTTCTCTCCTACTGGCACTACACCCCCCTCCCCCAGTGTGTTTGTGTGTAAGTGGCTGGCTTTGAATAATGTTATGGGGTTCTTGCCAGGTCTACATGCTATGCACTTCTGTTATTCCGTCATGCTTTCTAAACCAAATGAGACTTGCTTTATAGTCTGACTTCATGCAATGTTCCTTAATATCACAAGGGATAAAAACTTTTGACTACTCCCAAACTCCAGTTGTCCCCTCTCTCATAGTGATCCCACCATCTATTGAATGCTTACTCTGCACTGGGAACTAGGCTAACGCATCTGCATCACCTAAGTCCTCCCCTTTGTTTTACAGGTGAGAAAACAGAGGCACAGAAAGGTTAAGTAGGTTGTTCAAGATTGCTCAGCTAGTATGAGATAGAGCTGGGACTGAAGAGGGAAGGTATTCTCCCAAGCAAAATACTACACTGCTATTGTGTGTATACATAGGAGAATACACAGTTGCTCACTGTGCAAAAGTAGGCATTTCACTTCTAAAATTTAAACTACATTTGCATGAGTACTGATTGATACATACCTGTTTGCGAGCATGGGTTTGTTCCTCAGTAGGTATGTTCAAGGTGCTTTTGTAAAGAGTCTTAGCAATCAAAGAATAATAGACAGAGATAATGGACAGTGGAATAATGTAGAACACTAGGAAGGACAGCAGAGAATGTATTTCTTGCAGGAGTTTCTCAGAGACAGGATAAGAGACACACGATTCAACTGTTGTATTTTTGTCGGGATCTCGAAAAGTATAAACATTTGAAAATATAGCTTCTGGGACAGCAAATATCATAGACACGATCCAGACGCAGCCAGCTTTTGCACAAGTCTTCAGGATGGCATTAGAGGGCTGCCGCTCAAGGGGCTTCACAACTGCCTTATATCTGGAAACATGTAATCAGAGGCAGAGGTTCAAATAAATATGAAAATTATACAATCTCAGAGTTAGAAGTGACCTTAGTGTTCATCCAGTTCTGCCTCCTATCTGTATGTATAGGAATCAACATTAACCAACTAGAAATGGTTATGGTTTCAAATACACATTATACATCCCAGTATTTTTATTTATGCTAATCTTTTCCCCTTATTCACTCCTATGAGATATTCCAAATCTGCAGTTTTACAACTTTATGTATAGACCCTCTATTTAGGCAAATAAGCATTTTTTTGGCATGATTTTATGTGTGATTGAGAGTAATTCACTACCTGTGTGTTACCTTAAGTATTCTAAAAGACCTCCTTGTTGTATAAATGACTGATGTTAAACAGAATTAATTTTCCTTTCTTCATGAGTGAGCAGCCGTCAACCTTCCTAGAAAAGAATTCCAGGGGGTTACACAGTAAAGAGGAGAGGGTTAATTTCTTCCCCACTCATAAGTGCTAATTCCATGCCCAAGCCGATCGGTGAACAGATTTAGAGCAAGGCAAGGGTGTAATCAGAAGCTCTTTGCCGGTGCAGAGATGCCTCCCATTCAGACAAATCCACCTTAAAATCTACAGCCTTTAAACGAGTTTGCCCTCAAATAGAATATAAGACCAGCAAAGCAAAATTCAAAAAATACACAGGAAAAGCTTTTCCTCCTCTCATACAGAATCTGAAGAAGCTATTCCTTCTGGCACTGACAGGCATTGATTACTTACAGGCTTCTTGCAGGCTTTTTAAACCATCATTTTTAACATTTGGAGCCTCAATTTTTTTTCATGCTTTCACAGTTATCATTCTACGATAGGAACACAGAAAAACACAGTACTTAGACTGAAAATATCCTAACACGGAGTCTGAACACCCTGGCTGCAAGAGGTTCTTACACGCTGTTTCCATAGAGCTCTGAAAGTCAAGCAGGATTAATTTATTTCCCCGGAAAGGATAAAGTCATTAAATACCTATAGAGAAGACAAATAGAATTAAGTGATGATATGATACTGAGTTACCAGGGAGCTGAAAATCTCACCATTTTTCTGCCATTAGCTAATTTGATGAATTGTAAATAAATTAGATGCTTGTAAGCTTTTTACCATCCTTCCGATATACAGTAATGCATATGTGGTCAATTTCACCCCTATGCCGATGTTCCCATGTTGACTATATTGCACCACTAGGCTGCACTGATGTATAAAGCATGAATTTTTCCTTTACACCTGGAACAATTTGCCTTACTTAATAAACTAGAGGAAAATAAAAACACCATTCAGCATTCTTTCATGCAAACAATTACGCTCCAAAAGAATAAATTACCCCTAAAGCATACAATATCAACCTCTCCTCAGATGCTAACACAAGAATTTTAACGTTCCCACACCAACTTTTATTTAAAATGCCACCCAATTTTCCGATCTTACCTCCGGGTTACACAGTGTGAGAAAGCAGAATAGTAGCCAGTAAATGCTAAGTACAAGCTTTCCTTTCTTTTTGCCTAATTTCACATCCTGACAAATATAACAGAGAAAAGAAACCCACCTGTCAGCGCTGAGAATTGTTAACGTGAACACCGACACACCAACAGAAGTGAGCCGGATGAAAGAAAGCACCTTACAACCAATTCTTCCGAACAGCCATCCTTCTGCAAGGTAGTGGGTTGCATCTACAGGCACACAAGTTAGCAGAAGTAAAAGATCTCCAAAAGCCAGGCTAGTGATGAAAATATTTGGAACTGTTTGCATGGATTTGGTCTTGAAAAAGACTTTGATGAGAATAGCATTTCCAAGGATGCCCACTGAAATGATCACAGCATAAGTAATATAGATGGCACACAATGCTTCTATTCCTGGAGAGTTGCTCCCGGTCCGTCCTTTATTTGTGGTATCGTTAGAAACCACAGAGCTTGATTCTGTGTCATTTGTGATTGAAATAAAAGTCTGATTAGGTGATTGAGGCTGCCTTTGAGACATTTCTTCTGAAGACTGTGTCTTCAATATTTCTTCTGCTCAGTTCAAATGCAGTTGATTGTCACGTCTAGTGCCTACGTCTAGTAATGAGATGGTGCTAGGAGAACAGAACAGAACAGAATGGGAAGAAAACCCAAGACATCCGGATACTCCTTTCCTTCAGTTGTTCTGTGTCTCCCAGCATGCTTGGCTAAATGCTTACCGATCTGGCACAGAAGAGTGGGAGGTGGAGGAGTTTTATTGGCGTGTCCTGACTTCAGGGGAGGGAGGGGGATGGGGAAATGCTCTGCAGTTGCTTGTTCCATCCTGGTGGGGAATATTTGGGCTAATTAGGCATCATTAAGTCATCTTATTGTTTATTAGAATCACCCTGCTTTCATATCTCTCTACGGTGGTCCATATAGAAATTGTCGATTTTTTCCCGAAAAAACCTTAATTACTGCCCCCCCCGCAATCACGTGGTGGTCTCATGCATTTTCTTTTACATGATAAATAAGTGTAGATGTCCCTTGAAGCGTGGCGAACTTGAATCCACTTCTCAAGATTTAATATCAGAGAGATCTGAAGCAACAAATCATTCATGCTTTGACAGGGCTGATGTCACCTCCAAGGAGCAATAATTCAGGTGATCTAGGCTTAATACCTACTCTGTCACATGGTAATTCCCAACTCTGTGCTTATTACCAGAGCTGTGCTGTACAATATCAAAGCAACCTTTAAGAGATGAAAAATCCAGGCAAACCACCAGTTGCTTTGTCTCTAAGTGTGCTAATAACACCAGTTTTACTGTTTGTCTGGTTTCTGTAAATTCCAAATTAATACAAGGGTGCAAATGTTTAGGGTTCTCATTTCCAAGGTAAAGTTCAAGTTGTAGTTCAGCTCTTCACCCAGGGGACGTGCTGAACATCGCCACATTGTGCATATTAGGTGAGATCCTCCCCTTTCCCCCTCTAATGCCACATTTTAAAAAAACAGTCATTTAGGGTTTCTCTCTCCAGAAATGGTTAAAATGAACCCACCGTATTTCAAAACAAAATACAGAATGACACTGCTTGAGGTCCTGACACACACACAAAAAGTTTAGCAATGAAAATCATCATTTTCTGATGATGAAATGTCGTAGATGACTCTGGAGACGATAGGCATGGTAATGATGTGTACATCATCTGAAGGAAGTAGACAATTAAAGCAATCACCTTAGTACCAGCCAGAAAAGCCCTATTTTGCAGAAAAAGTAAGCATGTGCTTTACAAGTGTGTGTGTGGTGGGGTGTTGTTTGGGAGCAGTCTGAAGGCAGTTAACCTGCTGAGAAATATTCTCCCAAGTTACCAACTGTAATGCATAATCTTTCAGCTAGGAGAAATTTAGTGTAGTGAGGTGTTTATAAATATAGCTGTCTTGGAACATTGCCTGGGAAGTAAAATGTAAAGTTGCAAAGTGTTTGGCTAGGTGAGCAAAAGGGGGCAGGACAAAGGTTGCTCTTTTTTTTTTTTAAGCAGTTTTTGGCTGGGGCTGAGTTTGAACCTGCCACCTCCAGCACATGGGGCCAGTGCCCTACCCTTTTGAGCCATAGGTGCTGCCCCCTAAAAGTTGCTCTTTATACTGACAGACCTGGAGCAATCAGTTCTGCAGATAAAGTGAAGTGAATAAATTGTATCAGTTTGAGCCCCCCCCCATGCACACTTGTCTTCCACTCTTTATAAAATTATCTCTGCAGCTTACACCACTCAGCTAAAAAACTGTTTTTAATGGGAATAAGGAGGGGAGAGAGTTTGCATAAACCCAAATCTCCAAGCTTTGATGTGTATACATTTAAGTAATTTTCTATACTGGGGATGGCTCTTTAAGATGGTCTGTACAGACAAGGGCTTCTGATGGTCCACATCTTGTTCTCACCAAACTAATGATACCATCTCTCAGGGATTCCTGCGTATCATTCAGCAAAGAGCAAACAGTATCTCCCAATTAACACAGCAACTGATTGCCACACAGAACTGCATGTGATTCCCAAGATTAGCTGAATTCCCAAGATCTCAGTCATGCTTCAGCAGGCTACGGCCGCTGGCGTGCTTTTCCTTCTCCCCTTCCTTCTGGTCAGAAGAGGTCAGGAGAGAGCAGTAGTATTGGAGCAGGGGGGTCTTGGGTCTCTAGAATTACAGAATCCCAGAATATCAGAGAGGGAAGTGACCCTAGAGATGATGAGATCAAATGTTCTCATTTTGCAGAGACAGAAAGGAAATCCAGAGAGGGACAGTATCTCACCCGAGGTCTCACAAATACTCAGAAATAGAGCTGAGATGAAACAGATTCATTCTGGCTTCTGAAAGGTTAACAATCAGTGACAAGAACCGCGAAACACACAGTTCTTGACAATGAGCCATATTTGCTCATTTGGTATCACAGACTTAGGTTTTCTGAATGTTCTATTAACCAAAGAACAAGGGATTTCCAGGCTACCCAGCAATTCATGATGTTAATAGATAAGTTAAATGCATCATGTCTAATTAATAATTTGTAAGTAAAGTTACAGGACACTTAGCCTATACTAAATAATGAAATCCATTTCTTTTTATTTTCTGGTTTTTGGTGTATAAGTGGCCAGTATTATCATCCAAGATTTGCAAAATCAACTACTTGGTATAGATTAAGCAATTGTAGTACAATCATATGAGTTTTTAACTCAAAAGAAGTATTTAATGGATATAGAAGAAACAAATTACCAATTTTTTGAAGTTGGGTTTTCTGGTTCAGCCCGATTCAGTTAGTGCTGTCAAAATCTTTTTTAAATCTTCAAGGAGCTGGGGACCTAAGGGTGCTGATGAGCACCTGTCTGCCTTTAAGGAGGAGGGGAGGGGGATTAGAAAACAGTCGCTAGAGAAAGGCTGCAAACTCGGCTCCAAGTTTCTCAGCCATCCGTCAAACAGGACAGTGGAGTGCAAATTTTGGCATCCATCAAAATCAGCAGGAAGGATTATCAAAACCCAGAGTGCTGGGTCTCACCTCCAGAGTTGCTACTTTGGTAGATCTGGGTGTGGATTTCTAACATGATCCCAGGTGGCATGGATGCTGCTGGTCGAGATCACACTCTGACAACCATTTCTGTTCAGGAGGATCATGGTTTGTACTGATGTTGATGTCCAAGAGATATTTCTGTGTGTCTTCATTAAAGTAAAAAGTAGTCTATGCTGGGCAGCACCTGTGGCTCAAGGAGTAGGGTGCTGGCCCCATATACGGGAGGTGGCGGGTTCAAGCCTGGCTCTGGCCAAAAGTGCAAAAAAAATAAAGTACTCTATGCTGAAATAAGTACATCAAAAATCTTCCTGGAGGCCAGATGCAGTGCCTCACGCCTGTAATCCCAGCACTTTGGGAGGCTGAGGCCAGAGGATCACTTGAGCTCAGGAGTTTAAGACCAGCCTGAGCAAGACGGAGACCCTGTCTCTACTAAAAATTGAAAAATTAGCCAGGGATGCACCTGTAGATCCAGCTACTCGGAGGCTGAGGCAGGAGGATCACTGGAACTCAGGAGTTTGATGTTGCTGTGAGCTATGATGATGTCATTGTACTCTAGTCAGGTAATGGGCCAATACCCTGTCTCAAAACAAAAACTCCCTGGAGCTGGAGCTGGAGCTGGCTCTCCTCCATACACACACACACACACACACACACACACACCCCTTGCCAAAAATTGTATACACATTTAAAAAATGAAAAAACTGTATTAAAATTATAATAAAAGGTAAATACAATTATGTTTGACTTCTGCAATTACAAGAGGCGCTCAAAGTGGTTACAGAGAGCATCCAGACGCTTGTGTTTATGGTGAATTACTTCTTGAGCAACCTTGGAACCACTCACAGTGCGGCATCCTTTGATCAGGAGCAGTGCATATAATAATCTTGGGATGAAAACTTTCCATTTTGCTGTTTTAAGAGTGCGTCGTATGCTTGCTCGGCTAACTCTTATCTCACATGCTCATTGTCCAGTATACATCTGTGGTGAGCGTGTAAACCAGGGGTGTCTCCTCTGGGCCGCATTGGAAGAATTGTCTCGGGCACACATTAGATACACTAACGAAAGCTGATGAGCAAAGAAAAAAAAAAAGGTTCGTGCACAATTTTCATGAAATCACTGCCACAGATAAGTGAAAACGTCCTCACATCATAATCCTAATTATGCAACGTCTCATTCAGAGAGTCTTTTAAAATTGTCAAGCAGGTCTCAAGCTTGCTATCACTAATATATAAAATCTACATATCTAAGTAATAAAACACCTTTAAAATTTTTTTATAAAAGTAAAAGTGGGTGGTATAAAACAAGAGGGATATTTGACATTGTATTTGAGAAACTAATGCATCAATAACTGGTTCAAAGAAAGCAGTTGCATTTCTCAGTGAGTTCTCAAAGTACTCATCGGGTATTTTGGTTCTAATTTTACTCTTAATGGACTTCATTCTTGAAAATAGTTGCTCACAAATATAGGTACTGCCAAAAAGTGATGACATGAATAAGGCAAGATTATGAAGTGAGGGAGATTTGATTCTGGGAAGATAGGACCTATAGATAGGACCCAAAGAGATAGGATCATTTTTTTCTTCAGGTCGAATGTGGATAGCAGCTCTGTGCATTCCATTCGAAAATTGGCAGGTAACACATTTATGTTGACTGAAATGGGCTTGCAAATGCACAAAAATATTGATTATTTTCCCAGAAATCTTGAAATCTGTTTTCAAATTCTTGAGTCAAATTGAGAAGCAAGCCTTCATATCTTTTTGCTGTTCACAGGACTGTGTTTAGCCAATGTGTCGAAATACACAAAATCGTTTGCCTTAATTTGAGCTTGCCATAACTGCAGTTTCATTTGCCTTAATTTGAGCTTGCCATAATTTTGGTTTCATTTGGAACGCTGTTATGGTTTGAAACATTGTATTAATCAGTTGGTTTTCACCTCGCAGCCACATGTTTCACTCACTTCAATGAGTGGTTAAATTCATTAAAGATGCTTCATCTGGAGACCAGTTTTCATTGTCAAATTCTGGCACAAATTTGGTTTTTGATACCAAAAATGGGAACATTTTGCCAATTGTAACATCTTTTCAACATTTGGCCTCCACTTAGTCGTCTTACTTCCAAAAAGTAAATGATGTCTCCATAG